TGTGTGTGTGTATATGTGTATGTATGTGTGTGTATATATATATACACACACATCTTCTTTATCCAGTCATCTGTTGATGGACATTTAGGTTGTTTCCATGTCTTGGCTATTGTAAATAGTGCTGCTATGAACATTGGAGTGCAGGTTTTTTGACTTACAGTTTTCTCAGGTTATTTGCTCAAGAGTGGGATTGCTGGACCATATGGTAGGTCTATTTTTAGTTTTTTAGGGAATCTCCATGCTGACTTGAGGATGTATTTTAAAACCACCGCAGGAAATTGTCCTATGTTTCTCTCTTCGGCAACTAGCATGGTGTCAGGTACTTAGCCCTATTTAATTCATCCTCTTTACTTCAGGTTTCCTATTTACAAATGTGGAGGTTATAGTAACTAACTAACGCCCAGGACTTCCCACCTAAACACTTAATGTTAAGAGGTTGGCAACATCCTACCTTTTACAAGAAATTCCCACCAGCACATGCTCTACAAATTGTCAGGTGGAAACACGAGGTAACTATTAGGTAGAGCCACCTGAAATGCTAGTATTCTCATTTTGACCAATAAAGAGATGAATTTCATTGGGTTCAACCTAATCCATGGGGCTGCAGTTTGAAAATTTGAACACCTTTTCAAAGACGGAAAATTGAGATGTTCCAAAGTTCTTGATCTTTGTATTCCTCACAAGACTAAGGTCCAACTTTAAGAAAGGTCAGTCTTGAAGTCAAATTAGGTTTAGTCCAATATAGGCATTACTTTCTCATTTCTGTAAGTTAGATAAAGTAATTAAAAACCAAAGACTAAATAATGGAGAGTCTGAAAAACTGAAGCTGGAAAATTTATCTGTAAACTCCAGATAAGTCCAGACTCAATCGCATTTCATACGCTGGGCCATTTCTAACAAATCGTATTTACTTAGAAGTGAAATAGCTGTGGACCTAATGAAAAAAAGGGAATAGGAATTAAATAGTTCTTTGCTCATTTTGTATTTTTGTACATCTGGTAAGTGATTAGTTGACTCCGTCATTACTGGTAGG